CCGGAAGACTACCCGGACGTCCACCCGGATGTCCTTGGGGACGTCCACCCGGATGTCCTCTGAATTCCAGATTATTTATTTATTTTTTTTTTTTGGCAATTGATTTACATACTCGGGAAAAATATTTTCTGAATTTTTTAAAATTTTTTATGTGCTTTAAAATAATTTTGAGTTGTATGTTTAGTTATGAGTTGTAAATTTTTGTATCACATATCAAATGTCACATCAACAATTCCCCACTCAAATCAAACCTCTTTTCCAAAACTATTTTCAAAACTCTTTACCAAACAAATTTTCTACACTCAAATCATAATTCTACAACACACAAACTCAAAATAAAACTCATACTCTCAAATCACATTTACAAAACACAACCAAACGCAGGCCTAGTTTGTCCATGAGTCTGCGAGTACTTTTCAAATGATAAAAAATAAAAAAAGTCCCAACTTTGACTAGGTTAACTGTAACAAAGTTAGCGAGGATAGGCAGAAATATGGATTTAGTATTTGACTTCCAGATTTTTTCAGAGGTGGTCCCTCTTTGAAGGGTCATGTTGTTGCTGCAAGGATGAAGTTGGCTTATCATTTGCAAATAATAGGGCAATTGAGGTTTTATGAGTTTTTACTCTTAAGTGGGTTAAAGCTGTTGAGTCACCAATTGTTTCAAAAGCTTAAGCCATTAAGAGATGGGCCCAACAATGTATATCAATCTATTCAACAAGACTTAACATAGTATCAGAGTTTAGGAAATGGACCCAACAATGTATATTAATCTATTCAACAAAAGCAAGGTGTGGAACACAGCTTTAGCCTTTGCTTTGGATACATATATCTATATATATAGATATGTAGATATATGTACAATGTACATATGTATGTAAACATTGCCAATTAATCTGTCATATTTTTCATTGGGTTTTCATTTGTCTAGACAAATCCTTAGATATTTGTGCAAAACTTGTAGACATGTTCCCTTGTGAATCTTCTGTGATGCTTGTAGGTTATGAAATTCAGTGCTTCTAAACTTTAGAAGCCAAATTGTCTTCATTATTGGGTAATAAATTTACCACTCAAAGCTCATTGTAACATGTGCTTTTTGTTGACAGCTATATGGAGTCGGATCCTGTTAAAATTGCAGTTGAAGGCGTAGAAAGATTCAAGAAGGAAAATTGTGATCTTATAATTGTTGATACCAGTGGACGTCACAAACAAGAAGCTGCTCTCTTTGAAGAAATGCGTCAAGTTTCTGAAGCAACGGTATCGTTTTGTTACTCTGTGCTTGTGCTGCACTATCTTGTTGCTGTTGATTAGGGTTGCTAATATCTTCTCTTTGAATCTTCCAGAAACCAGATCTTGTTATATTTGTTATGGATAGCAGTATTGGTCAAGCTGCATTTGATCAAGCCCTAGCATTCAAGCAAAGTGTTGCAGTTGGAGCTGTGATTGTTACTAATATGGATGGTCATGCAAAGGGTGGCGGCTCTTTGAGTGCATAAGTTCTTAATGCTATGCTTCTGGCATTCTCTGTGTAATAGGCTACAAAGCTTTTTTACATCATCCTCTTTATTTATATATTTCTGGGTGGTTTGGGGGTTTGATTTGGTTGAAGAGATGGTTGAGAGAGTCTATAGTCTCGTTTGGGAAGTGGCTATTTTAGTAGGCTATTTTAGTTTTTGGCTATTTTAAGTAGGCTAAAATTTTTGTGTTTGGGAAGATGATTGGATTTTTTTGTGGTTGGATGTGATGTTTGTGAGAGAAAAAATGAAATGATTATGGGTTTGATGTGATATTTTGTCTTATTAGTTATTTTAGCCTATTTTGTCTTTTTGTGATTTTTAGCCTAAATTTGGCTACTTTTTTTCTTCCCAAACACCCCTATATATTTGCATTTTGAAATAAATCATGCAATCCAACCATGTTAGACATTTTCATAACCTAAACTATTGTTGAACACATATACATGGAATATCCTGGAGTTCAAACAAGACATCCGTGGTTGAATATTCAGTTAGATATATGCAAATTTCAAACATAGGCACCATGAACACCAAACCTTGTAGTTTCAGTTATGGCCTCATGTAATTTGAGAGAAGCAGATTTTGTGAAGCCTAGTTAATAAAGGCGAAATTTTAAGGAACAAGATATATCTCTGAAAATCTAGCAATACTCTCATTTAAGCATAAAGGCACCTAACCTTGTAAGTTGATTTATAATTCTTTGATTATTTCATTCAAGTTTAATTTGTTCTTTAGGAAACTTTTTCTTCTTTTTTTATTTTTATTTATTTTTTCACCCTTCTCTTTTTGTGCAAGTCCTCCAGGACACTGGCCCTCAGCAAAGTGCCTTGGTAATTGTTCTGAGATAATGACAAACTTTTTTAAAAATGGGTTGTGTGATGGAAATTATGAATTTCAAAAACTTTTATGTCGTCCTTACAAGTTACATCATTTTTGACATTTTAATGAAAATGCATTGAAATAAAAAATCGCAGGTTTGTTTGTTTTACTGACATTTTGATTATTTTGTACTTCTGATATACAGAGTTACTGCAACAAAAAGTCCTGTAATATTCATTGGAACCGGAGAGCATATGGATGAGTTTGAAGTTTTTGATGTTAAACCATTTGTCAGCCGGCTTTTAGGTTAGCATCGCCTCCTTTCCATCATGATGCCTTTATTTTTTACATACTTCTTTATTGGCCATTTCAGTTTATTGGTCTGGATTCATGGACAAAATCCATGAAGTTGTACCTATGGATCAACAACCTGAGCTTCTGCAAAAGCTCTCAGAAGGAAAATTCACCTTGAGGATTATGTATGAGCAATTTCAAAACATACTAAAAATGGGTCCTATTGGCCAGGTTTGTTAGTTAACTATTTATTTCATTGAAGCTTGCTAAAAAATGCTCTCCACTGTCATGTTCAAAGTGACATGACGATGCTGCTTTTGATGAATTATCACATTCAGAGCATCAAGCGATTGTAGTTGAAGAGTGACGTGTTTAAAATATCATTTGGGCTTTAATTCAAATTCTTTAAATGGCTCAATTGCTTGTCATTTTAATGGATTTATTCACCTGATTTTTGTCTTCATATTTATATTTGAATCTCCCATCCCATGTTTTCTTGATGTATCAATTCACTGTTGTTCTGTGTAGGTCTTGTCAATGCTTCCAGGATTTAGTGCAGAGTTAATGCCAAAAGGTCAAGAAAAGGAAAGGCAGGCAAAGACCAAATGTTACATGACTATGATGGATTCAATGACTAATGAAGGCAAGTGATGCTTTTTGATGTGGTCCGATATTGTTGTGTTTTTTTTTTTGGGTGATTAAAGTAGTGACTTGGGGATTTACTTCAATTCGACTTTAACATGGTCCAACAAACCTATGCTTACCATTATCCTGACTCACTTATGTTGCTGAGTTGGATGGTTCAAACCCAAAGTTGATGAATGAATCAAGGATCATGCGGATTGCAAGGGGATCTGGATGGCACATTAGAGAAGTGATGGAAATGTTCGAAGAGTACAAGCGACTTGCCAAGGGTTTGAGCAAAATGAAGGGTCTTAAGATTCCTGAAAAGGCAGAAATGAGTGCTCTATCGCGAAACATGAACGCGCAACCTATGAGGAAAGTACTTCCCCCACAGATGCTGCAGCAGATTGGTGGGATGGGTGGGTTACAAACCTTGATGAAGCAAATGGGTTCTAGTAAAGACATGATGGGGATGTTTGGAGGTGGAGATAAGTAGTGCTATACAACTATGCCAATAGCAATCCCAACCAATTGTCAAGTACAGTTTTAGGCATTGGTTGGCAGGAACAAAAAGAGCAGTCCAAATAGAGAGCCCTTTGTTTTGCCAGTGATTTTTATTTGTTGAAGGGTTCATTTCATTGTTATTTTTCACCTGATGGAATAACATTTGTAAAATTTGATATCAGCAATCAATTTTTTTTGGGGTTTTTGTACGTATTCGGCAAAGTTCATTAACCGAAGAACTGGAATGAGTTTCAGGTCATAATTTACACATGGACTTTTAGGTTAACCTTTTTTCTGTTCACAAAAAATATGGAACAAATGTTTTTTTCCTTTCTGATAAAAGTCAAAAATTAACAGCCTGTTTGGTGTACACAATTTTAAAATAAATAAAAATAAAGGTAAATGTCCACAAGGGAGGGAGGAGAGTGAAGTTCTGTTTTGAAAACAAATGAATATATATATACATATATTTTCCATTTCTAAAAAATTCAAAGTTTCAAAGGTTTCGAAAAAGTTGCCAAACAAAGCCACCATTTATATATTTTTTCTAGGTGATTGATTAAGGCCGAAATGTACATCATTGAGGCCGTTAATTAGAATCTCTTAACTTCACTTGCTGGTCAAACCGTATATTTTATGTGTGTTGAGTGTCAATCGGGTTATACATCGTCGGAGCATAAAATGAGCAAAAAGACAGAATTTGGCAGAGTTGACTTTTCCCGCACGTGCATTGACTTTTTCCGCACGTGCGTTGACTTTCCCGCACGTGCGTTGACTTTTTCTGGGAAAGTCAAACCGACGTTTTAAACCTGTTTGGACGAGATTGGAAAAAAAAAAAAGAGAAGAAAAAGGCTGGATTAGGGTTCTGAAAGTTTTTAGACCTAAAGAGGGAGGCTAGGGTTTGCAAGAGAGGAAGAAACAAAAAAGCTTCAAGGATGTCTCCCATGGTGTTAGGTTATGATCATTCAATCTTTTTATCAAAATTAATTTAGGAATTTAACAATTAAATTAGTTTAATTTCACAATAGTCCCTGTGGATCGATACCTGGACTTGCCATTATTCTAATAGAATTTGGTATAATTTAGTAATTAATTTTGGTGTGTTCAACGACCCATCAGTGATTAACCATAATCAATCGAGTGTTGTAATTGTCCGGATTTCCTCTCATTATATTCTGCTCAGTAAATCTATTTCATATATCCAACTTCTTTTGTTTGGCCGTCATGTGGGTAAATTGAAGTAGTTCTTAAAATAATTTATATGTTTTATTAGAATTAGAAATACAAAATACATCTATTATTTGAAGGGTAATGATCTCAAAGATCCTATACAACATTATTAACCACATCATCATCTTTCCAAGAACTTGCTAAGAACAGTTTTTCGTGAAGGGGCTTCTTCATCCTCATCATCATCTTTCTCAGATTTGTCAGGTGTATTCAGAGCGCAGCGCATAACAGAATTAACCTGTTTCCTCAAACTGGCATTGTCAATGAAAACATCTGTCAGCATCTTCCTTAATTCATCATCTGTTGCACTCGTGTTTCCGCCATTGCTATTGTGAGTCGCAGCTGCAACAGCATTTTCAACGTCTTGTGCAAGTAGCTGTGCCTGTTTGATGTTAACAGGAAAAATATTAAATATGTTTAACACCTATATCAGTAGTCAGAGCTATTGGGGTGCATATATATGTATCAAGAGAGAACCTTTGGAATTTGAATGTGTCCCCTCCAAACCCAACAACCGACCAATCGAATTCCAAAAGAATACATCAAAAAAACAAGTGATACTGCATTTTATCATGTACTTGTAACACCAATAAGAAGAAAGTAATTCATGGAAAAATTGTAGAACTCTTATGATGGACAATAGGGACATAGAGGAGCACAAAAGCACAAGTTTCTCATTTTAAATAAACCATATAACACCTCTCCTAATAGAGGTTGGTGATTCAAGTCCCCCTCCCTTATCTTGTAATATTATGATGTTTTTGTTAAAAAAAAAAATAAATAAATAAAAAATTCAACACCAAAGACAAAATTGGAAATCTGAGAAATGATTATAATTGAGAAATTTAGAAGGAAAAAAATAAATAAATCAGGAATGAAAGATACCTCAGCAACAAGAAGACCAATCCGATTATCAGAGGTCGTCAACAGATCTATAGCATCAGATGTTGAGGAAGAATCCACAATCAATTTATCTTCTTCCTCAATCAGGAAATTAACACTGCATTCTTCAAGCCGACAGCGAAGGATTTCACATTCATGCAGCAATTTTGCATTAGCGGCATTTGAATGTTCCCATCTTTTCTTCTCCTTGTGTAGAACCCTCTGAAATAAACATGCATTTACAGCAGAATCTATTAAGTGAAAAAGATTAAGCTAGCTCTTCAAGAAACAAATACACAGATATAAACAAACAATTAAACGAGGAAAAATCATAAATCTTTTCTTCTAGATAAAGTATATACAAAGAAGAAATTGAGAGCTCTGAGATCTGAAAATATAATGAAAAGTGAAATAAAAATCAAAGATTGGGTCAAGATCAGAAAATTTCCTCATTTTCAACTTCCTAATGGATCAGCTAATTTTCCAAGAAAGAACTGTCATCATTAAAAAACAATAAAGAGTGAAAATAAGCAAGCCTTGGCTAAGTAAAAAGCTACCTCGACTTCTAATTTTTCTTTCATCAATCTGCTAAGCTCCTGCTTCAATTCTGACTGAGAACTTCGAAGAGATTTCACCTCTTTCACAAGTAGTTTAACATCTGCTTTTGATTTCAACTCTAGGTCTTCGTTATGTTTTTGCAAGTTCTCAATCTGCTCCCTGGCATTATCCAACTCTTGCTGCAACTTTTTATTCTCCTGAATGATGGATGCCTTTGCTGACTCCACATTCAACTTTTCATCCTAAAATGTACATACATATCATTCAATATCCCACATGGAGATTTAACAAATGTTGACATGACAACCACAAATATATATACCTGTTCAGACTTCAACTTCAACTCAGTCTCTATACACTTTCTCCGCAATTCCTCCACATCCCATTGCGTTTGAGTAGATCTTTCCCTTTCAATTAGAATAGCTTGTTGCAGGTTTTCTTTACTACTATGCTTAGTAGTTTCAAGGTCAACTTCCAAGTCTTTGACCTGCAAGAGACAATGCTAATAAGTTGGTGCTCCAGTATGATAATCTTATCATCATGCAAAAGTGGCTTTTGTAGAAGCCAACAATATCATTTATATAGCTGTAGGAAAAGAATTGTACTTTTGTCAAGAAGAACTCAGCCAGTGTCTGAATACAAGCGTATCAAGCAATGCTTAAATCTAAAATTAATTCACAGTGTCTGAAGAATCATTCACCAAACATTCATCACGTTTTGAAAGGTCTTTCCAGGAAGCTCTCTTTTTTCTTTTTTTTTTGACAAGCATGATTTCATTTAAATGAGGCACTGGAAAGGTCTTGTTATGATGTACTTCTTCAAGATGCCCTTCCTAGAAGTGAAAGCCATGCCAAACAATGCCATTGCTTGTAAAATCAGGTTGAAAAAAATTAAAATGCTGAAGGTCAACTCCTCAAAGTCCGTTCGTTCAGTGAATAAATCATCTAGATGCCCCCGACAAGCATGAAAAGCGTTTGACATAGCTAAACCAAGACAATGACAATTTACGACTTTAACCTGAGAACCAGTGTCTTTGCATTTGTTTGTATGGCTACTTTATAGATACATTAACATTTTTAGTTTAATAGCTTTTAGAAGCTAATTTAAGCACAGATATTATACTTTGGCACTTTTCCGTTTGTTGCCACTGGTTAAGAATCCATTCTGATTCATATGAACTATAGAGGATTAAATAACTGAAAAACAAAGACAGTTTCAATATTGAACATGTACACTCGTCATGAAACATAGACTAGTTTTAGGAAATACCTTTGTTGTAAGGTATTGTCTTACAGCAAGCTCTTGATTTAATCTTGCTATAAGATCTTCCATGTCTGTTTTTGCTGTAGCTAGTCTTCGCTGCATGGTTGTAAGAACCCTGTTCATTTTATTGCGTTCTTCTGATGGAAGAGCAACTAATAAGTCCCTAGCAAATTGTAAATCAGAATTGGCAAGAGTGTCCATGGTTCTTGAAATTTCAGCACCTTCAGGAAGGTTAAGGGAGTTGTCACCAAGTGAACTTGCCACCCCCAAATTTGAATTTTCACTAGCTCTTACAGAACTTACATCACTATCTGTCGACAATCTCCGAAGATGGCTACCTAGTTTCCGATTCTCTGTTTTACAGAAAGGCTCCATTTCATCCTTGTCCATAATACTGTTTTCATATTCTGAATGCTTTGGGCGCCAAGAAAGCTTTTCTTGGTCAGATGTTTTATTTTCCACGCCAAGTTCAGAGTAGTTATCTGTTCCATGCCTTGGTGTTCCAAGCTCAGATATTTCGCAAGCTGAATCATTACCATAATCTGAAGCAATTGACGAATTACCAGCAACCAAAGAAACATCTGAGTTGGATTGCAATTGATATGTTAGAACCACACCAGCAGCAGAAGAATTTGCATCTACACATTGCTGATTTGAATCATAGAAGGCTGAAAAGTATCACAATACCCAAAAAGAACATCTTAGTTTGATGGCATTTATAACAGATTATATATATTTTATTTTTTCAAAGTCGTTGCAAATTGCTTCAGAACATCTCTTGATATATTCTGTGGAAGTTCAACACAAAACATTGTGAAGAAGTGGGAGACACGTACATGACCTTGCAGCAGCTTCTAGCTCAAGAAAGATGGCCACTGGAGCACTTCTTGACAAATCAATGTCTGATAGTAGTTTCTCTATCCAATCCTCTAAGGAACACCTTCGCTGTAATGAAAGTAACCATTTCAAGACAGATTATTATGCCTATTTTTATGAATTACAACTTTGGAAGAGGTGTTATTAAGAAAGAATTTGCAATTTTGGCAACAGTAATTTAATAATAAACACTGATTGCCAACAAATACTCAATTGAACCAACCCACTTATGCCTTGGTACCTAGCAACTTACTGCGCATATCCTCTGTAACAATTTATGGATTATTGATTGATGTATTACAAGATATTTTCTATTACAAATCAGAGTGGCTCATTATATAGGAGAGGGTTTGGGTAGTAGGTGAGGAGTAGGTGAGGGTAAATTGGTGGTAGGTGTAGTAGGTGTGGTAGTAGGTGGTGGTAGGTGTAGGTAAATTCTAACATCCTCTTTATTTTTATTTTTTTTATTTTTTCCTTCTGTACAGCTCTAAATAAGGCAGGATATACCTTAAATTGTCAATCTCTATGTCTCATACTCAGCCCCTCACACAAGATTTCCTCTAATATTCCAAGGATAACCATGACGGTGTGTATTGCATTGACTATACATTTATGTACAGTGACACAGGTTTAAGGACTTGGAACAAAGTTTAAAGTCACCAACTTGAATCAATCAGCTATTTGTAATCAGATGATTTTATTTTTTTTGGATAAATAAATCAGATGATTTTTACATACAATGGCCAAACATCACATTAAAATAAAAATTACAAAAAAGAAGTAAAAAAAAAGAAAAAAGAAAAAAGAATCAGACAAGCCCAAGTTTATATAAACAGTTTCCAAATGATTACAGAGACCTGCAGGCATTACCAGACATGCACAAGTATTATATGCCAGTCTACAACAAACTTAGAAATTAGAGATAGTAGAAAGGGTGCATCAACAACATATCCCTCAGCCACCGAAGATCAGTTAATTGCATTGGAATGCCACATCCTAGTGGATCCCATGTCAACCAAGGTGCATTAATGTGTGTCCATTTGCAAACATCAGTACCAAACAAACAATTCCTTTGCATATGCTTCCCAACATGTGGAATCTCCCAATATCATTCGGCTCAATAAAATGAATAATTTGCCAGGCCATATTCTGGTGGCCCCACACAAACAGAGTGCATGACATACCACCTTTGAGTGAAACTATGGAGCACTGTACAACATTTAAAGAGAGAAATTGCTTTCCAGTATGTTCACATCAGCATCAGCAAATTGTCAATCTATGAACTGCTAACAATAAAGAAATCGTTTCATTTTCTGTTTATTTTCATATAGAGATCTCTTCCAGCTCTTTATAAGTGTGATCCTGACTTGCATTGAGATTTAATCTAACTAAATAGTGATTTGAAAGCTCCAGATTTAAAGAGTCGCAAGAAATATTTTAAGGTTTGTAGAAATATAGGAAGCCTAGGGATTCATTCCTAAATTCAAGGATAATCATCTTTTTGACTTGGCTATAGGTAAAATATAAGCTTTATGTGGTCCCAAAGTAAATATATTCACGAAAACATACACTGACAAGAAATCAACTTCCATTGCCAGTGATTTTGCATTATACAGAAGCATACATGTATTTAAAGAGGAACAGAAACACTTAAGCAATTCAAAGTAATCAACATCATTCAATGCCATCACAATGAAATCTAAAGGGCAGAAAGGATATGGTAAATTCCGGAATAATTCTTAAATGATAACAGCAATCAAGCAAATTATAAAAATACTCGTCAGAAAAACAAAGAAATTCGAAAGTTATCTACCTCTTCCAAAAGTGTCCTACTTTTGCTTTTCAAAAGCCTCTTTGGAGGAGCTGGGGGCAAATTTTTCTTGGGAAATGCTGTTTTCAGCTGAAAAGAAAAGGCAGTCAATAAAAATAAGGATTTCCTTACACCACTTTGATCAAATGAGATGAAAAGCGACTGTCAAAGCATTACATTTGACAAACCACCAAAATGTTACAATAATAAATTACAAATTTTAGTTTAGTTACATTTAAAATTAAAGGAATGGAAATTATCAACAATAAGTCTCTGGATAATCCTCCTAGAAGATTTTAGAAAGAAATTTAAAAACTTACTTCAGAAAATAGCTTCAAGAAATCACTAAATCTACGTAGTATTCCTTGAGTCGTAGTGTTCCCTACTGGTGATTGTATACCAATTTGAACCCTGTAAAACTGTTTCTTGTGAATGTTAACAAAGGAAATAACAAATTAATCAAATATGTATAAGCCCAGTACATAAACTTAAGCATGAGCCTAACTTCTCACAATTGGGTACACCAAGAGCTTACCATCAATAAAAACTAAGTACAGCAGGTATGTTATCATCAGAGACTTGCAAAAACTAATCACTGATGCCTACTACTGCCACTACCCACACCCACCACTAAAAAATAAATCTCATAAAGGTGAAATAATCTCTCATAGAGATCAGACAATTCAAACATTGGTTGTAATTTACAATACACATATATATATATATATATATATATTTGATAAATTGGTTGTAATTTACAATATAATACTTTTATAACCTTGACACATTTGTATTATTCAGATCTAATAAAAAGATATATACCCTTGTTGGCAATATTCTTATATTTGTTGTATGGTTGTGGCTGTATTGGACTTTCTTTCATAGTTAAATGTCCAATTTGATGTAAGTTCTCATGATATTTGTATCTATCTCATTCATACTGACTGACAAACAAATAATAATCACATAAATCCTCAATTGAGAAAATAAACAAAATGTATACCACTGCAGGATCTGATCCTTTTGATTTTGGCCGGATAATCCAAGAAGGAATTGTGACACAGTAACTCCATCCAGAGCGAGGATCATGCGGCCATATCGAGTCCCGACCATCCTACAATGTAAAAAACGGAACTATTATAAAGACAATGAAATGAATAGTGCAGCAAGTACAAATATTGGACCTACCAATCAAATCAAGCGACACACTTCACAACTACCATATAGCTGCAAACCTAAACTAGGCTTAACAAAAAGAGGAAAATTTATTGAACCAATACAAACATCACAAGAACTTCTAGTCATGCCAAAACAAACGATATATGTATATATATATAAAAGCTCCACTATGCTCATGTAAGATTCTTAGGCATGTGATAACGCAATTAGCAACAAAAGGACGGGTAAAACCGTTGCCCAAGTGTTTTATGATCAAAAGAAGAAGAAAAACAGAAATTGCATGCATATAAAGAAATTCCATCCTCTTTTGTACAGCTCCATTGTTCTCTCTCCATTTACACATAGTAAGACTTGCACCCTAATCTGGGATAGTTCAGAGAATATATTTAGTATAATTTATATAGTATTGTTATTTGCGCAACTCTTCTATACATGAGGCATACCAATGACCAATAGGAAGAAGTGTACTACATGGCAATATAGATTATTGTGGCCAAAAGAGGCTATATGGGCTGGTGAGTGAGCTTATTGAAAAGTATGGTAATCATTGAAAAGGCGGTGGGTCACCAAAAGTGTAACTGAAAATTAAGGAGAACCAATCAGTGTGTTTGGTTTGAGTTTTCTGCATTAAGTTTTTTAAAAATTGAGTTTTTTAAAAATTGAGTTTTTTGTTTTTCGTGATTTTTTGTTTTTAGTGAATATTTTTAAAATTTTAAGCATTTTTTTTTTACTTTTTTAGATATACCTTACTTAGGTGTATCAAAAAAATAAAAAATTTATGAAAAAATATTTTTAAAAATTAACAAATACATAAAAATATACTAAATTTTCATAATTTTTTTGTATTTTTGGTATTTATTGAATTTTTAAAAGATTTTTTTCGCAAAAATTATACTTTTATGTGTATTTATGTTAAGTGTGTCTAAAAATTAAAAAAATTACTTAAAATATTAAAAAAATTCAGTAAAAACAAAAAAAATATAGAAAACAAGAAAGTAGAATTTTCTGAAAACTGTTTTCAGAAAAACAAAACCAAACAAGCTAAATAGTGTTCCTGTCCGTATCCGTGCCTCTTTGGAAATAGAAGTCTATAATGGAGGACCAAAGTCTTTACGACTGAAAATTAAGGAGATGAAGGCGGAAGTGTGGTTTGCGTAACTTTTGCTTATAACTTACGAGGCAAAACAATAATAGTAGAATGATCATCTTCTCTTACCACATTTTATCTACCATTTGATGTGCTACACTCACGATGACATTCATGTGGGGCCCATTATAGTAATTAACATCTAACTAATGTGTGTACACCGCATCAGATGGTAGATATATAATATGGAAAAGGAAGATAGTCATCATAGCATTTCTCGAGGCAAAAATAGCTTATATAAGTTGGGAGGGGGGGAAATCTGATTATTCAAAAAAAAAATTGATAAATAAAATTGCAATAAATTCTCAATTGACGATGGCTAAAACAATTGTACATGTTTGCACTATTGATTTTATTTATTAGTCTTGAAACAACCTGTTTTAGTCTTGGGCCCTCGACAATGACAGTACTCTTTAAGTAGGCTAACTTAGCTTACTTTTTATGAAAAAGAAGAGTACAAAATAAGAGATACACATTTAAATTGGCTAAAATTGAAGGATGTTGTTTGACAATAGAGGCTTTAAACCCTCCAGAGATAGGTAAACCATATATCTTGCTCTAATGCAAAGGTATCTTGATTCACTGCTTCATGCCTACTTCTTAGTGATTTTTTTTTCTTACTTAGACTAAACAAAGAAAGAAATTAACGAGGGCCAAATATAAAGACTTGTGAAGGTGCTCATGCAAGCATCAATATGCTCCACAATATAAATAAATAAATAAATAAGAAAACCCAAAATATATAACCCAATCTATGAGTGCCCATATATGCATGAAGTCAAAGCTCAATTTTCTCTTTTTTTTCTGGGTTGCTTGATGTTTAGTCCCATTGATATAGGGCTAAACTTGGAAGTATGTATTTTAGCCTCCAAAAGATATCCAATTAAAGGAACTTTTATTTTCTTTCTATTCACTTTATAGATCCCTCCATCTCTCTCTATATTCGTGTGGATGTGTAAATATCTTATATAGTCATAATGCGTTTTCTTATCCTTTGGAATTGTGTAACTTGAAGATTGGATTGAGAGTTCCCACATTCCAAGGCTAGATACTTGGCTCTTTCCAAGTAGGGTTGTAATGTGTGAGGGGATAGAGAGGCAAGAGCTTTGCAGAAAAAATGGGAGCTAAAGTGAAAAGGATAATGTAAAAGAGAGGGTTCTAGGATTTGAGCGGGGGGCACCTACACTCCGCACTCCTCTAGGTCTAAAGTGGCTCCTCCACTGATTGGTAGTGGAGGCGAAATCCTCAAATGCATTAGAGGATTGAAATAGTGTTAGGCATGCTCCTCAAGTATACAAGTGTGCATAGCATTCCACGTGTCTTTGTCATGATTTAGAGTTGTTTTCGTGCAGAGGTTTCTTTCTCTAAGGGTTTAAGACTAATCAAAGTGAAAGTCCCTTCAGTAAGAAGAGAATGGGGAAAGCCATCTTGACAAACCCTTTATCTCTAGCCACCCGCGAGAATAATGAGGTCACTCAAGCATCTTGTTATTGCAAAACCAACCCTAGGGAAGTTCCTAGGCCCCAACTCACCTAGGCTAGTTTAGGAGGATTAAGGTGACTTTAGGAAATCAAGTGCTAGACAAAAAGGAAGTATGCTAGATTGGAAAATCCACTAGGGCCGAGCTGAGGAGGTTCGAGCATACTTGAATATAAAATTCAAAAATAAAAAAATACTATACGATCAATAATTGTTCCATTAATCATGCCCCTAAAAATCCTAATGAAATAGCCCCTTAGTTTTGTCTATCTTTCAATAATGTTGTATGTGGTGTCCATTATTATTCAATATGCAGTCATGTATATTTACTATACATCTTTTAATGTGTGACCACTCATCTCCATTCATATTTGTCTACATTTCCCCCTCAAACTCGTGAAAATTTTGGACCAATTTCTGTGTCAGTTCTAAAGTCAAGTTTTTATTAATTCATTTCTACCTTATTAACCTTGAGCTTGTGAGTTCGAACCTGAGAATAACCACTTTGTGCAATTATAGCCAAATATTAGGGTTGTATCCAATCTAACAATCTCCATCTAATGGGGACTAAATTGAGTGTTGTTATATATATATATATACACACACACACGAAAGAAATAGGAAACAAATGAAGCTTTATAGGCTAAGAAGCTCTACGAAACATAACCGGAAGGCAAGATCAAACCCTATCGGCCTGCAGTCTTGAACCTTCAAGAAAAGTATTAGCAGGGCAAAATCTAATGTCACTGTCAAACGGCCGCTTATGGGCTAGTAAGAAATGAAGGTTGGGCATTAAAAAGTCCTCAATCACATTTTTTTTCTTTTAAACTTAAATTGGGTATAGACAAAATCCTATAATCCTATTGTTGTCACAATTAAGATGTGTAAATTTCAAAAAACACACACATAATCTAGGATGAAAGCAAGTAGGACAAAGCAACATGAACTGAAAATCAAGAAACCCTACAAACAATATCTATACCACAAATGAAAACATCATACAAACAACAAAATTGAAACAATAAAAATGAAATCAAAGCAATACCCATTTGCGAGGAGGAGGGCTCCAGTCCATGCCGAAGGGAAGAGGGGAAGTTCCATCGTGGCGGTGCCTGGGAGGAGTCGAAGGCTTCTTAGGCTTCACCGGCGTTCCATCATCGTCGTAATCGTCGACAAACGTTGCAAAATGTGCCGATAAATAAGGCGAAGAGCGAGATAGAGATCCGATGATCGTCGGATCGGACAAGCCGAAATCGTAAATACCATGATCGAGTCCATACATATTCATCTTCGATTCGAATTTGGTTGCTTACGTTGGATTTGAAGACGACAATTCGATAATTTCTATGAATGATTTAGCAGTTGTGAATCATACAGTGAAGAAGTTTTGATCCAGAACATGAATTGGTAAAAAGATTCGCACGAAACTGAAGTGAATTTTTAAGACGAAGTCATCTTCTTGCAAAACATGCGTCGCCTCGTGGAACATGTGTCATCTGTGGTGTGGCTAAACAAAAGTTCTAGAGAAATTTATTTGAAATTTATTTTATTCTATTTTAATATAATATTTAAAATGTTTTATGATCAATTTTATCTATATACATATTTTTAAGGGTCCTGCTTAAGTGTGCAACCCCCTTAAGGTTACACATATGCAACCCAATTGTTAGCCGTTAGATTACAATAATTGATCAAGACCATTGAATTGTTTAATCGTGAAAAAGTTGAAACTGGGGCAACCGGTTAATGCTTGTATTTGCATGATTGCATCCCACTCACTCTCTGTATTTCGTCTCTATCTCTCTCTATTCTCCTCTCTGTGTAAGGTTGAGTCAGTGTAACTGTTGATTTCCATTAACAGGGAGAAGCCCCTGTTGGGTTCGTTCCATTGACGAAGCTCTGTAGGGAACAGTATAACGGGCGATTTCCAACAACAACGTAACTAGAAGGCTGTGTTGGTTCCATTGCTGAAGTGAAGCCCTTCTCTCGAACTAGATATGAGGTATGGAGCTGTGTCCCTCTCTCTGTCTCCCTCTCTGTCTCTCTGGCCCGTTCACTTCAGCTATTTTCCCTCAACTAAACCCCCATCCTAACTTCAACCGCTCTACGCTTCGCTCCAACGGAAACCCCTCCATTGGCAGCTAACCTTTCTCTTTCTGTTTCTCAAGCGAGTGTTTGTGTTTGCACAAACAGGTAAACCGTGTGAAAATGTCATGTTTGTGTTTGTGTTAACAATTTTCGGTCATCAAGTAATATTAATGCCCACTTTATGAGAAAATTTCTTATTCAAAACTCAATGCTTTCCGCTCATACTTTGTGTTGTAACCTTCTCACTTAAGAGAATACAAAATCACTTGGATCCAACTCAATCGATGATTAAGTCCCACTTTAATTTAACATTAAAGCTGCTAAAAAACATTTTCCAACACTTGCTCCGATCACTTTGTAATTCTTTACCACCTCAAATGTCTCCTCTCCTTTTATTGGTCTTTCTCTACTCATTACTACCAAAGCTTCCTGATCTGGACTTAGATCTTCCAAAACTAGACTCAGATCTGCTACACACAATTATCTAATGCCCTTTTAACGTGTTGATCCACGCTATGCAACCATCCATGGTCCATTAGGATCAATTGTTCTTCTCTATTAGGGATTGCAGCATTCCAATCCAAGAGGGGGTTTGTAGAAGGTTATGGTGGGATTTCATTTGGTGTGTTTGATTTTCATTTATTTTTATACATTTTGTTTGTTCGTGTTATTATGCTTCCCTCTAAGATGTTACAATGTGCGCCCTCAAAAAGGTGCATATGGAATGCTTTTCATAACTTTTTCACAAATTTCATAACTTAAACCCAAAGCAGTTATAATAGATACGATTATGAGAGTAGAGTGATTTAGTTACATTGATTTGTAACAAACTCAATGAGACTTCATTGAGTATAAATATTTGTAAGACTTTATGATATTTAATAAGAAAAGATATTTTACAATTTTTGTTAGTTATGTGAGACTAACATTAGGAGGGTTTTGTTTAAAATTTTAAAAATATAATAAACTTAACATATAGGGTGGAGTTTTTTTTTTTAATTTTTTTTTTTATATATATCATATTTGAGGTTGTCAAATTACCACATAATATTTTAAAAGAATTGACAACTTTATATTAGAAGGTTTGGTAGAAAAAGTTTTAAGCCATCTAAAAGAAGATTGTATTGGAATAATTTAATAAAACTATTATTTAATAAATCCTTTCATTATTTGACTGTTATAAGATTTATATTAATTTTAAACAATTCAGTTGCAAAATTATTATTGTCTGAAATTACTATTTACTATATGAAAAGAAAAATATGACCAAGTATCATTGTTCTCTAAATTTTTCTTTTATTTTATTTTGTGTGATAGAATGTGCTTTTTTCTTCTTTCTTTTATTTACTTTTTATTATTATTTGAAATTGATCTCTTATTGATAAATTTGGGTTGGATTCAATTATTCATGTCCTCCAGTGTACTCAAGTCTTGCAAAATCAATCGATTTATGGCGAGAACTATTTGCATGCTAGGTCAAAATACATAAAGAATGTACAGAGAATATAGAAGATATTGATCTTAATTTTCAATACAAGAATTAGTTACTACAGCAATGCTTTTATACAAGCTTTATACAATCCTAACCTAACCTTAACCTGACTTATAACTACCTAACCATTTCTAGTTAACTGCTCTAACAACATAACATCTTTGATTAATATCTATAACAAACTAACTGATGAGAGATACACATGCAAGTGCAGTTGAGTGTGAGCTGCACTGAGTTGGTTGAGCTTCTTGAACTGCATGGCCTTGAGACTGAATATATGAGCCAGCAGGTTCTTTATCAGCCTCCTTCAAACTCATAGGATTGGGAAGGACTAAGAGTTTGCTTTGAAGATACTAAAAGCAAGCCACTGAGAGAGGTTTAGTGAAGATATCTACAATTTGATCAGTAGTAGGAATATAAGCAATGTGTAGAGTTTTAGCAGCAATCTTTTCTTGAACAAAATGATAGTCCACCTCAATGTGTTTTGTACGGGCATGAAAAATAGGATTATGAGCCATAGCAATAGTTGAAAGGTTATCACACCATAGAATAAGAACAGGGGCAGAAACATGAAGCTCAATAAGGAGGATGCCAAGCCAACAGAGTTCAGCTGAAGTTTGAGCTAAGGCTCTATATTCGACTTCTAAGGAAGATCTGGACACAGTAGGCTGCTTCTTAGCAGTCCACGAAATGAGATTGGGACAG